TCTTCCTTCCTGGCAATTAAATAAGCCATGTTTTACAGAACACTTTTATTGTGCATTGGTTAAGTGTTAATCTGTGTCAGTTTCTGTGATTGAGAAGTTTGCTTCATGATCATTAGAAATCGTTCCTTTCTCAGATACTCTTTTTCCAAAGGTCAATTTCAGTGCTTAACAACGAGAATTTATCCCTTGTAGACTACCAAATAGGTCATCCTATGAAAGTTTCCACCCATAATTGTTGTGTGAAAAGGCCACTTCAAATCCAGGCTCAAATCCAGGGCCAAGAGATGTTATCATCAGCTGTGATACACTGGCTAAATACTTTTAGAATTGTCTGGCAGTGTTTGTCTGCACAGCAGAAACTCCTGATGCTCACCAGGCACCTGTGGGCTTCTGTTTCTGTTTCTCTTCTGGCCTACAGGTTGAGTCACTACTATTGACCACAACAGACAGTATACTTGGCTGGTTTTATTTGTCTGTTCAAAAGCAGCATCACTCAGTATATTTTAGATTCATACTAGAAATCCAATATACAGTAAAAACAAAATAATGACCTATTTACACTGCTAGTGTTCATATAGAAATTGCTTAAATCAGATGATGTCAGAATATAGACATTTACAAACGTGAAGAGGCATTCGGCCCATTCAGCAGTTTCTTGAAAGAAACCGAGATACAAGTCAACAATGTGGCTGGGTGCCTTTTTCATACTCCCACAAAATTTCTGGGTAAAGTAGTGCCTCCTGTTCTCAGTTTTAAATGCACTTCCTCATAGTTTCCATTTGTGTCCTCTGGTTGTGTTTCACTGTTCATTCCGAAAAAAAAATAATTAAGGATTTGCGTAAATTTCCTAATGTTCCTCTGTGCCTCCTCACAGTGTAGACTAGGGGGTTCCCAGCAGGTTTCTTTAAACCTTAATTGGCTGAACATAATTTTTAACAGGTGAAAACCTGCTTATTTAAGAAGACGGAAATCCTGTTGGATTCTGAATCCTGAGAACCAGTGATAGAAGCCCCTGGTTAGATCTCTGCGAGTTCAGACTTGAACAATTCCAGCAGGTCCACTTCAGTGTTTGCACCTTTAATTGTTTTTGCATGGAATAAAACTTTCACCTGTTCCTTTGCAGCCTATGATACAGCTACATATTTGATTGTTCAATCAATTTTTATTTAATCTTGATAATTCTGGCCTTGGTGGATCTGGTGATGTGATGGAAAATTAAATCATTTTAAAACTGCTGCTCATGTAGTAAAGAAACAAGCTTCAGAATCGGTGTCACTGATTGGCGTGGATTCTTTATAGAAAAGTCATATTTTATTATTGACTATAATTTCATGGAAAACCTTTGGTATTATTGAGGTATTTTCTTATAATGGTACAGGATGTTGTATATGGTTTATGCATGAGTGTGTTACAAACAGTGTATTGTAGTGTTCCCTTGTTCTCCTGTAATTTTGTTAATCATCTGCCTTTCAAACACAGCAACAGAAACAATGTTTTGATGTGTCCCTTTAGTCTTTGCCAGAAGGCATACATTCCTGAATAATTGTGCCTTCTCTCCCAGACTTGCCAAACACAACTACAGTATGTAGAGACTGTTCTTTGCTAGATATTAGCATGCCTGATGTTCCTAAAAACCGGATGATTCTTTATTTAGCAAGAGAAGTAGGGCGGGTTTGAATGTGGGCTGGCCTAATTCATCAGTCCTTTGAGTCTTTCTCAGTTGGCAGCGGATATCAAAAAGTGAAAGACATTTGATGATGTCGACCCCTGGGGAAATTAACCTGAGTCTCGAAACAAGGGCCATGCTGTTTTGGCATATTGGCCGAGAAGGAGCCAATCTCCTTTGATTAGGTTTCAGACATTGCAGCAGTATGTAAAGTAAAGTCTTAGTTTAGAATGTGGATGATTGACAAACCATTAAAAACGACAAATTCACAAAATAATGGCTGAATTATTCTTCTTGGGAACAATGACTTCAAATTTTTAGTAGGTATAATATAGTATATTAACTAAAATTAATAGTGTAACGCATACGTCCGACATTAGAGGTTGTGAGAGCCGGCTTACCAGCGTGGTGACGTCACCGCCTTTCCCTTTGAATAGCAGGGACCTCAGCTGTCGGGCTGACGGGAGATTTCCCTTTAGCTCAAGTGGCTGGGTCCCTGTTGAGTGACGCCGGAGGCCCGGGTTCGAGTCCCCAGCGGAGGGGGGCCGACCTGTGGCGGCAGCAGCGAGGGCGCATACCCACGTGAACCCGAGAGCGGTACAATAGCTTTCGTTAACATGGATATGATGCATCTAAATAAGAATCTTTACTTTTTTAAATGGAAAATCTAAATACCGTCATTAAAATAAGATGCTGGGAAAAAAACGTCAGCTTTTTATTGTCTGAAGGTGTTTAAATGAAGCTTAATTTTAGTTTTAAAAAACGTATATGCCGCTTAGTAGTGTTTAAACAGAAACCGTTCTATATAGTGTGAATGAAAGTTTTCTTATTTACCAAAGAAGCAAAACTTTTCACTCTTAAAAATAATTGACGCTACTCAACTAGTCTATTTAATTAAGTGATTTAATGTGGGCGAAAAAGAAAATGCAGTGGAAAGCAGGGATTTACCAAATGCTGCTGTCAAAACCTGAATTTTTATTGAGTTACCATAGAACTGCTAGCACCTTCTCAAATCCTCATTTTGGCTTGAAATAAAACGTCCCTGTTTGATAGAGTATTAGCCAGCTTTAGTCCTAGAGCACGGAACATCGACTTCAAGTCTGTTCCTAATGTAGCTACACTGAAGGGTTATCATTCTCTCTGATATTCATGTGAATATCATAAAATAGCAGAACAGAGCATGACAAAAATACATTAAAAAAAGCAACTCATGTCTGTTCATAATTAAAAAAGTAAAAGTTGGTATCAATGGAAGGTTAACTCTTTCTGAAGATGAACAGGACAATTCTCACACTGTAGTGTTCTTGTACTCTGTTTTTGTTTTATCCCATATAAACTGCAGATGTGTTTCAGTGGAAAAAGCACTCAGTGTCTCTTTAATGTATGTCACAAAAGTAATTAAACAGCAGACCTGGAACATCAGGGAGTCAGCAACAGAGATCCCAGTCCCTTCTTTTCCTGTTGTGAAAATTTTTATTAATGTAATACGATGTAAAGAACTGTAGCAAAGAAGAAAAGAAACAACTTTATAAAACACACTGGATATAGTTTTGGTTTGCATTAATGAATACTGCCGCATTTTCAGAACAAAAGTGTACAGTATTAAACTTCTATTAAAACACGAGACATTAACATAGCCTTTTTAGGTCTCCCATTGTGAGTTGATTTCAGAGGGA